AATTTTTGTTTGCTTTCTTAGTAATTTGTACAAATTGCATTTAAATTCAAATGTAAGAAAGCCATTACTACTAACACTTTAAAACTACATATTATTGACTGAAAAAGCATTAACAAGTCCTCTTGCCTCCTACCTATTAGAAATTATCTTATTGCAGCTTTTCGACTGATTTAAAGTTATCTTTTTGAATTAATTTTAACTTAGAAAATTATCTCTTTGTAAATTAAATATTACAGATGTGTAGTTAATACAGTAATACCTCGACTTATGCGAACCCTGAGTTACGCTGTTTGAGTGCCACACAACCCTTGATTACTCACTCCCCCTACACTATTGTTCAGCTTACATGTTCGGATGTGTTGCGCGGAATCCACACATAGCCACAATTTATTTTGTGTTATTTATTTCTGTGTTTGTTATATATACAGAGACTCAAGAGACTCTACTATGTCATCCAAACGAAGTAGAACTAATTCTTCCGCATCAAACAAGAAAAGAAAAACTTTATCTTTGGAATGTAAAGTTAGCATTGGGTACGTTCGTAAAGTCAAACGAGTTAAGCAAGAATGAAGTCATCGTTATTCCTATTTCGTTAGACTTTTTGAACGATTCGTTACTAACGCGTTTAACTCGTTTGACTTTATGAACGTACCCATTATTAAAGACTTCGATACAAAAATGAAAATTTGTGAATTGGCAAAGAAGTTTGATCTACCGGAATTGTCGGTCAGAACAATTATAAAAGGCAAAGAAAAAAATTCTCGAAGCTGTGAAAAATGCTCAATCTTTAAATTCAAGCATCATTCGTAAACGTCACGGTATTATCGCTGAGATGGAAACAATGTTAAAATTATGGCATAATAATCAAGTAAATGTGAAAACTTGTAAAATAATATAGGCCTAATTTGTTATACATATGTATTATCTAAGATTTTATTAAACATTTTTTTCTAAATTATTGTTTTCTTTAGTCTCCGGCCCCAATTAAAAATTATTTGTATGTATTTATATGCGAAATTATACCCCGACTTACGCGGTTACTGCTCGGTCCCACCTATCGCGTAAGTTCGGGGTATTACTGTACTGTATATTAAGAGAAGTTTTTTAGAACTGCAAATTATTCAATCAGAATAATTAGTCCCTTTTCCTGCACATTACTTTCGGCTTAATTAGAAAAATACTAGCAATGATGTAATTTAATAAAGTATGTGTAAAACAAATTCCAAAAATATTGTCATAAGTAATTTTACATTTTTAAAATAAATGTTTGTTTTCTGGAACTTGTTTTTCAAATTTGCTTTTGTTTGAATTGACCAAAGAAATCCAATTAATAAAAACAAAACTATTCTTGGAATTTAGCTTACTTCTCCTTGATTCATTAAATTACAATGTCACACAGTGTCATTTTTCTAATTTTAAAATTTTAAGCCTGTAATAAAACTCATAATACTTACTTATTACATCAAATACAAAGAAGCTATTGTCAAACTACTTCCTCTAAATCTAACTATATAAAATTACTTGTCCTGACTGACTGAGTCACTGATTCATCATTGCCCAGAGCAAACCACTGTTCAGTGGTTTTCTAAAGAGGTGAAATTTGGTACACAGTTAGAATACGTCATGGAAACACACACTAAAAAGGGATTTTTCGAAATTCTCCTGCAGGGAGAGCATTAAGGCTTAACCGGAAGAACGGCTTCTACTGTACTATTTTAGATGCAATTTTTTGTTTTCAACTACGTTTAGTTTTCGTTGAGTACTTAGATGTATTAAATTGATAACATTTCAGACATTGTTATAAATATTTTAATATATTTTGATTTTTTAACCAAATGTTCAAACCGTTTTAAATTCAAATTTGTTATTGCATATTGGTTCGATTATAGAATGATTGTAAACGTTCCAGAAAATTGATCAAATTGAAAATAGTTTGTTTGATTCTCAGCAATTCTCATCATACTCGGCAGTAGGTGTTATATAACAATTATTATGGTTGTTGAAATACTGAATATAAATGGGGTTTGCTTGCAAAACCTCCATGGGCAAAGTTGCAGGTAACAGCTAGTATATATATATAATCGATATAGGTTGATAATAATAATAATAAGCGCAGAGCGCAAATGGTTAGAAGTTGAAAGTTGAAATTTGGTACACAGTTAGGGTATGTCATGAGAACGTACACTAAGAATGGATTTTTCAAAATTCCCCCATGAGGGAGAGGGAGCAGATTAAGGCTTACCCTGAAAAACTCTGCTTCTACTATACTATTTTAGATGTGGATTTTTATGTTTTTGATTGCGTTTTAATAGGGTGCGTACACTAAGAAGGGATTTTTCGTAATCGAAGTGTTAAGAATGAAAATGTTAACAATGGAAGTGTTAATAGAAAGCAGTGTGCAAGATTAACAGGTGCAGATGTGATTTGTTGCGTTTTTGTGAGAAATCGAACATATTTTTAGACCCATCTAACAGTTCTCTAATTAGTCTGGAAACAGGGGGACTAATTCTTGCATTCTGTGAAAACGGGTAAGATTGGCTATAATGTAATAACCTTAATCTTCGCTATCATTACTTTTAGCCCAAGCAATGCCGGGCTTATTTGCTAGTATATAATATAATCATGGCAATCTGAAACAGATAACATCTATTCCAAACTTGCCTGTGTTGTCACGAACTCATTAATTTATGTTATTAATCACTTGTAATATGATATTTCTGAATTGAAACTTGCTTAAGTTTATTTAGTTCACTTTTTAAAATTATTTTATATTTTACTAAAAAGTGGCAAGAAACAATAGGGTTATTGCCAATTATGTACTGAAAATTTTCCATTGATTTTTAACAATCAAAAATTAATTATCTGACACCGATTATAAAATTTAGTCAAAATGATAACATTAATAAGTAAATCCCTAGTTTTCTCAGCAGACTTAAAAACATTTATCATCTAATTGAATTTATCTCAAGTTTAATTTTTTGTGTTAATATTAAAGAGTTACTGATATTGTTAAAATATTTTGTATCACAAAATTAAATAAAAACAATTATAATTTATTGTAAATTAACCGTTTTCCAATAGTTACTCCTAATTTTTTGCTCTAACTAGTCTTTACAAAACACTGCTATTTTGTCTATTTTGTCATTGATATATAGAGCTTTCCAATCCCAACATAACAAAGATATTTTAATAAAGCTGAACAAGGGAAATCTTGGTCATTGATAAGAACAAAAATTTTTTGCAAAAGAGTTTAAAATAATTTTAAAAAACAAAATTAATGTAAGAACAGTTTATTCTGTAACTGTCATATTTTATCCCTTGATTTGCTTCGATGATAATGCATAATTAAAAAGTTTGTATTTGGAGGAAATAAAAGTTATTAAATATTTTTTGACTTTTATTAAAAATTATAATCAGATAGAAATATGACAAATTTCTATTGAACTGTGTAACAAAAAGTCCACAGATATCATTTTTCTGACAGAATAAGCTCTACTGTGAGTGAAAACTTTACTGTTTCATTTGTTAATATCAAGGAATTTTTTGGTTCAATTAATATTATCAGTATTTTTCTAAAACTTATTGTCATATTATTATTTTACTACTATACAAGGGCAAGGTGAAAAGTTCTTGGCCTAATAGTGAAAAAATGAGTTTTTTATTTTAAAAATGCATTTATTTCTCAATGTAGTCTCCCTTTAGTTCAATACACTTTGTCCAACGTTTCTCCAATAACAGTATTCCATCCTTGAAGTGGGATTCTGGAAGGTCTTCAAAATATTCATTTACCACTGCGATCACCTCTTCACTTGACCCAAAATGTTTTCCTGCCAAAAATTTCTTAAGATTTGGGAATAAATGAAAGTCAGAAGGAGCCAAATCTGGCGAATAGGAAGGATGTTCCAACAATTCATACTTCAAATCCCTCAATTTTCCCATTGCCAAAGTGCCTTTGTGAGCAGGTGCATTGTCCTGGTGAAAGAGGATTTTTTTCTTTTGCAAATCAGGCCTTTTTTTCTCTAATTTTTTCATCTAGCTGGTCAAGAAGATATGCATAGTATTCCCCATTAATTGTTTGACCCTTTGACAGGTAGTCAATTAAAAGAATCCCTTTGGAATCCCAAAAAAACTAGCCATAACCTTTCCAGCCGATGCAATTGTCTTTGCTTTCTTCGGTGCAGGACCACCAGCTTCTACCCACTGCTTGGACTGTTGTCTTGACTCAGGGGTAGAGTGGTGAACCCATGTTTTATCCATTGTAACAAATCTGTGCAGAAAATCAGTTGGATCCTTCTTAAAACGGCACAAACATTGTAGAGAAAGTCGATTCCTCATTTATTTGTGATCAGCATTTAACAAATGCGGCACCCATCTTGCGCAAAGCTTTCTCATACGGAGTTTTTCGCGTAAAATGTACCTTATCCTTTCTTCTGAGATGCCTACAGCCTTAGCTATCTCATACACCTTTAATCGCCGATTATCTAGAATCATATTGTGTATCTTCTCAATATTTTCTTTGGTAGTTGCAATTTTTGGCCGTCCTTCATGTGGATCATCTTCAATCGATGTACGACCACGTTTAAACTCCTCTGCCCATTTTTTTTACCATAGATAACGAAGGTGCAGACTCCTTATACACTTTTACCAACTTTGGATAAATTTCTGTTGGTGATAAATCATCCAAAACAAAGAATTTTATGATGGAACGATATTCAAGTTTATTCATTTTGTCAAAAACACACACAATGCTTACTTTAAACAGCTGTATAAAATAAACTATTTGTCTGATCAAATTCACACTTGGTATTTACTTTTGTAACAAGTCTGGAAACATAACCAAATGATACTTTCATTTCTAGTAGTGCCATCTATGGGTTAGGCCGAGAACTTTTCACCTTGCCCTCGTATTTATATAGAAGTTATTCTATTTGCCATATTTTACTGAAATAAAACACTAACTGAGAATATTAAAACTTCTATCCTAAAAATGTTTTAATTACCTGAACACATGGCACTGTGGCTTTAGTAAAGTCAAAAATGCCAATGATGTCTTCTCCGAGACGGTAAGCAGATTTCAAGATACAAAACCTTACTACTTTTCCATTTTGATTTGTGATGTTATAAAAACCTGTAAGAATATTATAATAATTTAACACAAGTTTTGAAAAGTAAAAAATAAAAATAATTACAAAAAGTAATATTTTACATTATCACATATCAATGAATTCATAAAGAGGCTGTTTAATTTTTATTTAAAAGAAATGCACTTGGGGATTAGTCCGTTCTTTCGACATTTTAGTAAAAACCAAAGATGGGCTTTTTGTCTCAACCACGACGTTCTGGTATTAATTTTTATATATTACAATAAAAGCTCTATATAACAGACCACAATGGGACCAAGGAAATTAGTTTGTTATAATGAAAGTCTGTTTTATTGCTATTACTCATTATTACAGACTCCTCTGTTATATCAAATAAGTCCATTACTATATAGTAGAATCACATTAGAATGGATCTTAACAATGGACCTGGAGGCACTATCTGCAATTTGCAGCTGGTTTCTCCAAGTCCAGATGCTAAATTAGTGTATTTATATTTATATATACAGTATATATATCCTGAAGCCCAATACTTTAGAAATACAGTAGAGCATCATTTATCCAAAAGCCGATCAACCAAAAGCATTCTAGTCGGACTGTGTCATGCTGAATCGAACTTTTTGATACTAGATTAACTTCTAAAGTATATATTTTTTTGTTTTTATATTTTTCAATATATTTATTTTGTTTGTAAAAAATAAAGAAATAATTTTTAACGATACAATAGCGACGATTATTATTTTAAAATGTTTACGTTATGCTTAACATCGACAAAACTTCAACACGAAGCAACACGCAATGGAGAAAAATTTCAACACGAGACAAGTTAATATATTTTTTTGTACATAATCAGTTACCGAACAACCCCAGTCCCCAATTAATTCGGATAAATGACGCTCTACTGTATGTCAAATGATTACAGGATTAAATTGGGCTACTTTACCATTATTATTTTTAATTAAATTCTACATAATTTGATATTAGAAATATGCATTCGTCAACATCTTTTATTAAATTTAATAATTATAATTAAATTAATACTTAATAAAATTTTTTATATACTATTTTTGAAGCCAAACAATTACTAGATTAAATCTGATTAAATTACTGCTAATAATAATGTAGCCTGATTTAATCCAGTAATTGTTTGGTTTTAATATGATTATAGGGCTTTGAGATGTTTATATATACATATATATATATAAACATCTCAAATCAAATCAAAAATTCAAAAAACAGTGTCTGTGTGTGTGTCTGTGTATATATATATATATATATACACATATACCAGGTGTATAAGCTTAAATCTGCTGTTTGCTAATAGATGGCAAGGGTATTAAGTTACCATGACGACGCCATATTGTTTTTTTTGATGATTTTGACGTCTGTCAACATTAATCAGTACACATCATCAGATATTTCATACAACAACATATATTTTTTTTTTGTAATCATGTCTACTTTTGTGCCATAAAAAGAGCATATGCGGCAAGCTTTGCTTTTCTGCTTTAATTTGAAGAAATCGGCTGCCGAAGCACATCGAATGCTTGTGGAGGCTTATGGAGACAGAGCTTTATCGGAAACCACGTGCAGAGATTGGTTTCGTCAGTTCAAAGATGGAAATTTTTACCTGAGCGACAAGAAGCGTGAAAATCGGCCCAGGAAGGTTGAGGACCATCAACTGCAGGCTCTTTTGGATGAGGACGATACCCAATCGCAAAAAATGCTTGCCGAGCAATTGGGTGTTACTCAACCAGCCATTTCCATGCGTCTACGTGCCATGGGAAAGATTCAGAAGATCGGAAAATGGGTGCCGCATGAATTGAACGATAGGCAGATGGAGCGACGCCAAAACACATGCGAAATCTTGCTCGCCAGACAAAAAAGAAAGTCGTTTCTGCATCGGATTGTAACTGGCGATGAGAAATGGATATATTTTGAGAATCCTAAACGCAAGAAATCGTGGGTTGATCCAGGCAAACCATCAACATCTTTCCCAAGACCAAATCGCTTTGGACGGAAGACAATGCTGTGCGTTTGGTGGGATCAGCAGGGTATTGTCTACTATGAGCTGTTGAAACCTGGTGAAACTGTCAATGCTCACCGCTACCACCAACAACTGATCAAATTGCACTGTGCTCTGCGTGAAAAAAGGCCGGATTATCAGCAAAGACACGACAAGCTGATTTTCCTCCACGACAATGCACCATCGCATGTGTCAACATTGGTCCGAAACTACTTGGAGACACTCAACTGGGAGGTGCTACCCCATCCCGCTTATTCACCAGACCTGGCCCCTTCCGACTATCACCTCTTTTCATCGATGGGCCACGTGCTTGCTGAGCGGCACTTCGATTCTTACGAAGACATCCGAAAATGGCTTGATGAGTGGTTTGCCTCAAAAGAGAAGAAATTTTTTTGGCATGGTATCCACACATTGCCCGAGAGATGGAACAAATGTGTCACTAGTGAGGGAAAGTACTTTGAATAAATTTGTTTTTGCTTTCTAAGAAAAAACGTGTGTTTTTCTGACTAAAAAACAGCAGATTTAAGCTTATACACCTATGTATATATATATACATACATATACACACACACTGTTTTTTGATTTTTACATAAAAAAAATCTTTAGTATTCTAATGAATTCTTTGTGTAATTTTATTTGAAACTGAAAGAGAATGCATATTTGTATAAATAAAAGCATTTTGAATCTGAATGATTTAGCGTTCCACAAAATTAGAATAATTACTTACTAGGGTTTCGACGAGCAGTAATCATTTCTAAAACCTGCAGAGCAATTTCCATAGAAGATTCTTTCTGTTGACTTTGTAAAAATGGATTAGTTGGAGCAACTTGCATCTCATCACTTTCCATATGGAAATTAAAATCTGACAAGTCTTAAATTGCAACATTGCATTAACAACTTGTAATATTAATATTTATCATATTTTACAGCATATAAGACATAGACTATTTTGAACACAGCATATTTAGGTAAAAGTATTTACCATATGAAAGCTTTCTTGTGCCCTTGGCATTCAGTCTTATTATTATTATTATTATTATTTTACTATATTCCAATTATATAAGTAAAATTAGAATGCACACTTTTATTTAACAGAAAAAAGAAAAGTTTTAAAAGAATTAATTTATAATTAAAATATTCAACATGAATACATGCAAAATCTGCTTAGCTGCTTAGCTATAGCAAATTGTAATAACATGTTTAATTAACCAATAACATTTTTATTCAAGAGTTGAGTCAGGAAGAGGTTACCTGTAGCCTACTAAAGGCTGTTTGAGGTTTTATTAGCCAATGGGAGATTGCAACTTTACATATAAGATGCAGGGTGATTTTCTGAGAATTGTTTTTGGATAAAAGTTGCATCTTATATGCTGTAAAATATGATATTCAAAAAATAATAACTTCCAATTATTAAAAAAATATATTCTTACTGTTCAAAACAAGAACTCTTATTGGAATCTTCATCAATTTAATTACTGCATTCACCCGCTGAGTCCCAATAGTTATCTTGTAAGCATATTTTACAGCCTGGCCTCGATACGAAGGAGGTCCTTCATTTGGAATTGTTTCTTTGTATAAATCTGTTAAATAAGAATAATGTCATTAAATGGCTACATTATAAAAAATTGCTTATAAATTTAATTCAATCATACATGTTTTGCTTTCTCCAGGAGCTAGACGAACATCACAAAATAAAATTTTAGGCTTGGTTGAAAGAACTATGTGACCATTTTCTCCTATATAAGAGAAAATAATAAAGAAAACAAATAAATCTTTTCAAATGAAAAAGTAAAAAAAAAAAAAAAAAAACAGTCAATCTTGGTTGTAACAACAATGGCTATACTTTAATATAATATATTTTACTTTACATAATCTATCATCACAAAAACCAAACACCAGCAGAAATGGTAAAAAATTCACATTTGCTAATGTTTTTTCCATATTAAATGGATATCTTCAGGCTCTTAACATTCTAATTTCAAATCACATGAGATGGAACACCTCAATTTGAAATATGCAGGCTCATTGATTGGGCTGGGCACAACAGTAATCTTATAGACTGTATGATTATGAAGTGAAGCAGGTGTTCCAAACTAATGGAAAATAATCTGATTCCTTGAAATTAATGGCTGTGTTTCTTGTAGTAGCCTTATATTTTAAGGACGTAGATTCTTTTCCATTAGTTTGGAAGACCTGCTTCACTACATCATGCAGTCTATGAGATTACCAAGGTGTCCAGTCAATCAATCAATAAGCCTAAATGTTTCAAATCTAGGCACTTTATCTCATGTGGTTCAAATTAAGTGTGAAGATGTCCATTTAATATGGAGGAAAATATTTGCTAACCTGAGTTTTTTACCATTTCTGCTGGTTTATGGTTTTTGTGATGGTAGCTTATTTATATATTCATGGTTATAATGAGCAAATTTAGCCTTTATAGTACTAAGTGAGTAGGAAAACCATTATCACCTGAATAAATTGTCTATTGAGTTGTCAAAACTGTTAAAATGTTTATAAATCAAAAACTATTCACATTTTTCCAGCCAAGGATTCATTCAGTAGACAAACAAACATTTTTAGTTTATTTTACAAACCTGCCTCTCCAGTTTAGCTTCAAAATATAAATTCTGATATTAATAAAATAAAATAAAAATAACAACTAAAAAAGCATAAACAAATTTCACACATTGTTGGTTGCAGTTTTATTTACCATATATTTGTGCAGATAAGACGACCTTCAGATAAGATAAGGTATAAATTTTCATCAAAGTTTTATAGTTTTAGCATATATCTGTCCTATAAGACAGTGGTTCTTAACCTTTTTATACTCATGGCCCACCAAATATTTCATAATTTTCGATACTTATCATCATAGGAACTTTCACTAATATTTTCTTCACTATATTTTCTTTTTGAAGATCCTGGTCCGTGATTACTTACATTAAAAAAATTTTGTAATGCTCCTTTCTGTTTTTTGCTCATTTTTATGGGTTAATTATAAATAATTAAAACTAAACACACAATATAAGAAAGAAATACACTATTATTCGATCCATAGTCGATGCTAAAACTAAACTAAAACTAAAACACCCACAACTTGTCATAAAGATTTTGCATATCTTTTGCAAAAACATTTAAATTTTCAAAGCCTACTACTAAGCCTATTATTTTTCCTAATTATTTTTAAAATTCCAAGCATTAAAGGTTTCTTAGAATTACTTTGGAATAAAAGAAGTAAATACTGAGGTGTAAGTAGCATATTTGCATTTAATTCTCCTATACTAACAAAGTTGTATGTTGGAAGAAATAAGAAATAAATAAAAAAAAAAACTAAATACAAAAGCTTTATCTTTCTTATTTCACTTTTCAATATGATATTCGGTTATACATCAATTTTCATTTTATTATATTCTGAAGGAAATTTTGCATAATTTGGCGGCCCCGGCAAACTTCTTATGGACCTTCAGGGGGCCGCAGCTCCCCTGTTAAGAAATACTGCTATAAGATGACCCCCAAACTATCAATGGCCTATGAATTTAGTTTAGATCAGCAATCATCATCTGAATAATAACACTGTATAGCGTATACTGAATTGTCCTATTCGTAATTTTTTGAAAGAACTTCAAATTTTATTTTCTTGCATCTGGAGCATTGCCTTGTGATTGTTGTAAACATACACACTGATTTGGGCATTCGGATAATGACCTTGACTATAAATAAAAACATCGTATGGGCTATTCTATTTTCTGGACATACCCTACTTGCTACTAGTAAATAATTATGGTTTGTCCGTTTTTTCCTCAGTAGCTCAATAAACATAACTTTTAATATTTATGTAAAGGTGTGGATTGTCCCTAGGGTTGGAGGTTCGGTTCAATGCCTAAAAAATGGTGATGGTTGAAACAATAAAGCAAGAATGGAGTAAAAGAAAAAACATCTAGCAACACCAAAAAGCAGAAGCTTCTAGATCTGACAACACTAAAACAAGTTTCAAAAAGGACCAAGTGTGAGCAATGAAAATAAAAAGGCGGGAAAAGAAAATCATGGAACCAACGAAAAGAAGGAAATATGAAGCAAGCTTCAAGTTAAAAGTCATAAAACAGGCTAAAGAATTGAACAACTGCGCTGCAGCAAGGGCTTTCGATATAACAGAGAAGATGGTGAGAGATTGGAGAAAGAATAAAGATTCTATTAAAAGAATGCCAATGAAAAAATGTTCTATGAGAAGAGAACTAGCTTGCTGGCCAGATTTAGAAAATAATGTTGGAGAATGGGTACAAGAACAGAGGCAGAATTGTTATGTTATTACAAGAAACACGATTAGGGCTTATGCATTGAAGTGGGCATGGGCCAATCCAGAACAAGGTAAAGAATTTAAAGCAACAGTAGGTTGGTGTGATCATTTCATGAACAGAAAAAATCTGGTAATACGACAGAAAACAAAAATTGCACAGAAATTACCACAAGATCTTGATCATAAAGTAATGAGTTTTCACAAGTTTGTTATTGGTATGAGGCAAGAATACAACTTTCCATTATCTAATATTGGAAATATAGATGAAACACCAATGAACTTCGACATGATAAACTATAGAAGTGTGGAAACAAAAGGCGTAAAAACTTTTCAAATCAGAAGTACAGGCCATGAAAAGTAGACTGAACTTGCTAGGTACAGAATTGGACCCATATGACATTACCCATATCTCAACAACAAAAGTGAGGATGTACTTAATGAGCTATTTGCCTTAGATGATAAATGTGAGGATTTTGCAGGATTTTAAATACATTAGTGAGTAATTTGTTTTATTTTATATAAATTTCAATCTACTTTTTTTTTTCTTTTGTATCTGTCCTATCAGACGACCCTGGATTTTGGGGGTCTTTTTTATGATTCAACTATCGTCTTATCTGCGCAAATATATGGTATGTAAATATCGACTACAAGTTTCCTGTAAGTTATTGAAAAACAACTGCCATGCAGTAGATAGATTCACAATCCTTATGATTAATGCAACTGCCTTTTAATGTGGCCTTGTATATTTCCAGCATTTCTAGCATTCTTAATTCATGATCTTTTATATAAAAGACTCATTTTATTATCTTTGTTTCATTAAGATTTGCAGACAACCTGGGTTCTGTGGCATACTGTGCTAAAGTAGTTATTGGCTTATTGTTATCTAGGTTGTACTTATGTTCATTGAGCTTGCATTTTAAGATTTCTTTGTCGATCTGATGTACACAGTTTCCCAATTACACCTTTCATCTGTGATTGGGATTGATTATACCTCTGGCTGTTATTATTTTCTATCATATCTTTAATGTTACACAGCAATTTGTAGACTCGGGATTTCTATGGAAGTAAAGCAAGCATTTAAATATTTGTTTGTAAATCAAAGTGAGTCTAAGACCAAAATCTACAATTATTCACCTAGGCGTTGAATGTTGTGACTAGGGATTGTAAATTTACCGACTTTTTCATTTACCGGTAATTTGGCAAATGAAAATTAAAATACCGGTAAATTTTTTCCCTGAAAAATAAAATTAAGGTGATAAAAAATATAAGTAATTTTGATTTCCATTTCACATTTTTTATTTCAAACATATAGCATATAAAAAAATATAAAAATTAATTAAAGTGTTATTCTAAACAAACTATAATAATAACTTTTAGAAACATAAATAAAATAATACAGAAAAATAAAAATAAAATGGAAATACTATATAGTACCTAATACCATTTTATTGATTATCATTTTTTAAAAATAACTTCTCAAGAAACTTAAATTATTTAAAGTCTTATCTCCTAATTTTGATCTAATTTTTGTACAAAATAATCCAGATTAGGTTAGGTTAGGTTTCCAGACTTTTTCAAACAGCATCCTTAAGTAATAAAAATCTTTCCAGCATGTTTAGTAAGCTATTCCACCAGGAAGAAAATAGTCGTAATAATTTTACTCGTGCAATCGACAAGCCACGGTAATGGCGAATAATATATAGGACAATATCAAACCGTAAAGTTTTAATTACAATAATTGATATGACAAAATGTATATCATTTCTTTTCACGTCATATTTTCTAATGCAGTGTTTGCATTAATTGTATGAAGTGAAAGTGCACAGTGTTGCATATTGTTAACTGTTTATAAGTCTACATTCTCCCGATTAAAATTACAAATAAATAGGAAGTATAAAGTTATAACAATTAGACAGTTAAAAGAAATAATTGCGCAAGACTCTTCTCGGCTTAGATTTTTAAAAAAAGTACTTCTATAAACATATTTTATATAAAATCTGAAGAAAATAAATTTACTTCAATTAGAAAATCACGACGCTGAAATAAATCATACCAGTTACGAATAAACCAACGTTTATATACATTATATATAAAATTAATTGCATTTCAGTAGCTGAATTTTGTGCTTTAATGTAAATATTTAAATTATAAATTCGATTATCAGATTCCGTCAAATGACCAGAAAATAAAGATTCGCTGGTGTACTATTTGCGAGAAACATTTTAAATACGTATCTAGTTTTAACCGGCATATGACAAGTCACAAAGGTGAAAGAGCGTTTCAATGTGATATTTGCAGTAAAGCATTCATCCAAAAAGATCATCTAAAAACACACATGAAAACTCATCTACGAGAGAAAGCACCGTTTTGCTTTCAGGTAAATACAGAAAGTATTTTAGACTACGTTTTACTAAATATTCGTGTGTTCAAATGATAAAAGAATTTAACGTTTTTAACAATTTTTTCCTAATTAATATAATTTCGCATTGTTAGTCTAAAATATGACCCCGTAAAAGTACGGAACTGAATGTAATTTATTTTAATTAAATACGCTTTATTTGGTAAACATATATCGTCAATTTTCACATTTTTGTTTCGTTTGATATTTTCAAAACGTCAAATTTTNTCTTTAAGAAAAACGTTGATTGTAAAGATTTTAAACCTTTAAAAATCTCAAAAAACGGCAGAGCACAAATCACATATGCTAACTAGAGCTTTCTGTACAATTTACAGTGCCTCTCAAACCCAAGAAAGTTTAAATTAAAATTAAACAAAAAATATCTCACATAAAATTAATAATTAGGTATATTGTTGCTTACACTTATCTTTTTTTTTTTTTTTTTTTTTCAAAGTCCCTTTAGCCCTTTTAAATATCTATAAACACAATATTCTCTACATAAAAATTTCTAGTATGAATTTTTCATTTACAGAATTACCGGTAAATTTTTAAAATTTACCGGTAAGTTTACCGAATGTTTTTTTGTCAATTTATCGGTTAACCAGTAAATCGGTAAACCGGTATACAATCCCTAGTTGTGACTGTACATTGGTGTTTCCTAGGTGTGAATGTTTCTTATATTTGTACTCTTTTTTTGCACTGGTTTGTATTAGTTTTGTATTAAATCCATGTTCTAAGGCTATTTTTCTATATGTTTGAGCTCTTTCACGATGTTCAAAATATCTGAGCAGTGTGCACATGCTCTTCTGACTAATGTTGTGAATGCTGCAATTTTATATGTATATAGGTCATGCACTTGAGAAGGTGTGAAAAATGGATGATAGATTTATTGAATACTTGTGTATTAATATACCCATTCTGGAGAAGTATATCTGTTACTGTGAACGACCGAAATGGGGGGAATGTCAACATTCACACAGTTGTGTGTGTCGACATTCACAAATATTGGTCTTTCACAGTAACATAATCTATGTCTAGGAAGTGGACAGCTGTGTTGTACATTGCTCAAGATTTAATTTTAGGCCATAAGAATTATTATTTACTATTTAAAAAACTGGATTTAATTATAAATAATGAGGCAATAGCAGTTATATCCAGCAATTTATAAATTATTAACAAAAACAAATTCTTTTCACGATTTTTAAATTATCATCATCATATTAAAATTATAGTTGAATATATATATATGAAAATTTGAACATCAAATTATTATTTTGCATCATCATTATTTTGCAGGCTGTAGGGATTGTTGTTGATGGCTATTAAGAATAGGAGTAAATTCAGTTTCTTTCATCAGATTATGAGATCATTATCAACATAATGGGTGTAAAGGACAATTTTATCATTTTTTCAAGGTGATGAAGTTTCCAAGACCAACAACTTGGAACTGGAGGACATTATTTGTTATTCTTTCCTCTTCCAATTTCAAGGGGTAGCTTGCCTGCAAAGCAGAGGTGTCCTGATGGGCAGCCAGTATCTGGCAGTTTTTGTGAACTAGTTCTTCATCATTTTGAAATAATGATAAAATTGTCCTTTACACCCATTATGTTAATGATGTTCTCATAATCTGATGAAAGAAACTGAATTTACTCCTATTCTTAATAGCCATCAACAACAATCCCTATGGCCTGCACCTCCACATAGCAACCACCAAGTTTACTTCTTGGACATTCTTCTCACACTCAAGGATGGCCACATTTTAACTAAGTTTATAGAAAACCAGAGTACAAGCCATTTGTCATTCCATTAGAATCTAAATTTTTATCCATTTAAAATGCCTACAAGACACTAGTCAAAAGACCATTCATCCACTTTACCACCATCAACAGACATATTGAACTAAACTACATCACACATGCATAGCAAAGCAACAAGATTTGAATGATATGTTCAAAATTTCATCCTTAAATATAAATTAGGTTACACAGCTAAAATCCACAAAGTCATCAGGTATAACTCAACATCTTTCAAAGATTTACATACAAATGGTGAAAACATATCAACTTAGCATCTCCTACAACAGAAATCCCACTATAGTTTCTTTATTATGAAATGCCAAAGACCCTGGTAACAGGCAAAATTCATCTGGGGTATATACTATCCCCATTATAGATGACAGATTCAACAAGAAATTGGTCTATATCGGAGCAACAACTTAATCCATTAACATGCATATCAAGAAACACCATTATTTTATCCAAAATGGCCTTCCAACCACATCATTAGTGACATTTGCAACCAAAAATGATGTACAAATACTTCTCAATGAAGCAAGTCTAATATACCTCATTAGGAATGGGTTCCAAACTGAAATATCTGGAGAAACTTGAAATTTACAAAGCTGCAATAAATTACAGTGCTGCCAAGACATTCTCTAAAGCATGGAAGTCCATCTTTGAATTACACCTATAAGTTTAAGTCTTATCTTTAAAAAATATCTGATTACATTATTGTTGACATCTGCATCTTCCACCAATAAAATAATTATCCCATTTTGTTTAATCTGATGTTCTAATTTTCATATACAGGTTCAACAGTTATTTTAACCTGATGATGATTTTTAAATCGTCAAAAACATTTGTCATTGCTATTATTTAGTAAACTGCTGGATATTACTGTTTTTATTTCATTATTCATAAGAATTATTATTAAAAGCCACTAAACCCTAATGATGTTTGGGTTTGATTCCCAAGAGAAAGAAAAATTTTTCATTTTTATTTAAAATTTTAAATACTAGAGAGGTTGCGACTGAAGTTTTAATCTCTAAAATATAAACGTCAAGTGCCGCTATCTTGTAAGCAGCACTCGACATTTATGTTTTAGAGATGAAAACTTCAGCTGCAACCTCGCTATTAATTAATATAAAAATATTACATATCTTATTCATCTGTGGACAAATAAGATATGTAATGCTATTTCTATTAAAAACTTCTTATACTAAATGTTTCTAATGATAAGTTTATATGAACTTTACCTCTACAAGGAATAAACGATGTATCTTTAGAAGCAGTGGCTAATTCCTCTTGTGATAATGAAGTAGAAATAGGAAATTTGACTTTAGTATCATCTACTGAACACTGACAATGTATCTGTGCACTAGCCCATGCCAAATTCTCTTCAATATCACTAAAAATTAGAGATAAACTTAAATTAATTTATTCACTAAATTTATGTTTAAAATAAAGCCAATAAAACTGAATAAGTACACAAAAATCAACATTTACAATGAACATAAAATAAACTTTTTTGACTTATTCACAATGAAACATTAATGACAACATATCAAATATAAAGGATGACAACTGCTGAATTATCAAGTTAGAAAAAAATAACAATAAATAAAATTTTAATTATTTATAAACATATTTATCAGTCAATATGTTGTCAAATGTTTATTTCATTTACTATTTGAATACATTGAAGAAATCTTACAATCCAGCATATAAAAACACAGCAGTACACCAAACTAGTTAAACAAAACTAAAATATTTAATGTAACAAATGTTTTTCCATATAAGATATCTTCAGATTGCATAAGCCCAATATATAAATTTAAAGTGAACAAACATTTTCAGCCATTTTAAGGATCATATATATTTATATAATAATGAACAAGAAAATTTACTATCATTTTGTCATCATTTGTGACTGTCTAGGAAAATGCTGTTTTACAAAACTAAGCACAGATTATGCACGTAAAGCTCCAATCTAGGATGAGAAAAAAACTAAAGTTTAAGGAATTTTTAAGTGTAGAATTTAATGTATTAATTGCAGAGACATCAATATACTTTCCAATGCTGGGAGGTTTTCCATTGGATAATTCCGTGCTTTTCTGAAGCTTAAAGCTAAAAATTTACTCAGTGTATTTTTCCAAATTTTGTTGCATTCCTTCACATAACTCCAATGTATTGTTTTTTAAAAATTTGTATATTTATTGTGTAAAAGTATTTTATAATTGCTCAGATTCATATTTTTTAGTTAAATATGAATCCAGAGCATTTGTCAAATCTAAAATACAGTCGATCCCCCTATAACATTGTTGATAATTCCGTTTTATATGAATTCCATGTTGTACAAGTCACTTAGATTTTACAAATACATGTGAACGGCTCATGTATTTGTAAAATCTAAATGAATTGTACAACATGGAATTCATATAAAACGGAATTATCAACAGTATTATAGTACAAATCTATCCTCATTAGCCGTGGTTACTCTTGGCCATGCTCTCATAATGACCTTGTGAACAATAATGGAATATTTATTTATTTTTATAATTAAAAGCTACGGCAAAATCGTAAACATCCATACTTAACTCCTTCATAAAGCCTCCCAGCACTCTACATAGATATTACATTGAATTTCAATACAGAAATGAAGATGTGACTGGGCTCTTCTAGTGGGAGAATGTTCCTATAGTGGTCTGCAACAGTACCGAATCTTTGCAAGAATTTTAGTGTATTAAAGAGATATAAAGTGATATATGGTGAATTCTTCTCTTTTGTGCCTCTAAAATATTGTTCTATGAATCTACTTTCAAGAGCATATGCGACAAGGATATTTTATGGATTCAAATTGAAAGGTTACAACTGTAACTTAAATGTGAATTGAATGTTTAGGGGTTTCTTCTAAGCATCACTCAGACTTTTAGCATGATGCTACATGAATTAACTGTTTAAANAGATGTGACTGGGCTCTTCTAGTGGGAGAATGTTCCTATAGTGGTCTGCAACAGTACCGAATCTTTGCAAGAATTTTAGTGTATTAAAGAGATATAAAGTGATATATGGTGAATTCTTCTCTTCTGTGCCTCTAAAATATTGTTCTATGAACCTACTTTCAAGAGCATATGCGACAAGGATATTTTATGGATTCAAATTGAAAGGTTACAACTGTAACTTAAATGTGAATTGAATGTTTAGGGGTTTCTTCTAAGCATCACTCAGACTTTTAGCATGATGCTACATGAATTAACTGTTTAAATTTCTAGGAATTTGCGAAGAAATCTTCCAGTATAGAAATTGCTAAAGCAAGGACTGTTCACGATGCAGGATGAATGTTTCGAACTGAGTGTAAACATTTAGTTCCTGACAGCCTTAATCTTTTCAATGTAGTTATCATATTTTGTATTTATTCTGTTACATATAATCCATTATTTATTGTATAACTTTCATATACATTGTCGTGCCCTTCCCAACACACGAAAAATTTGTCTCGCGTATTATAACAAATCTCTTTTCTATATGAAACAAAACATGTATACTTAATCTTAATCTACTAATTGTAAACTTATATATACCAACCTCTCATTGTGATACTTTATGCTATAATGCATATTACTCTTACACTTTGTAAATGTAACTATAACATTTGCAATACCTAAAACATCTGTAAACTGGCTGTGCTTACTGCGGAACCAGTTATGTAAAGTTGGTTACGACATTAAAAGATTTGTATGTGTGTGTATATCATCAAGAAGTTTGTTTTTATTTATAAATTACTGCTGTACTATAATTTTATTAAGTATAAACAGGGATACAAGAGGGGGCAAAAGGAACAAACTGGCCTAGATCAGAGGAAATAGAGCCCCCATACAATGTTTTTTTTTTTTTATTTACTTCATTTGTTTTAATATATGATTTAATTTGCTATAGGGCCCCAATACAAATTTTCCCCCAGGCCCCGTTACCCTCCAGGTAGTCCCAAGTACATAACCTTCTTCCTGTTATTATAAGAAGTTCTATTTAATGGGAAGACTTATTAATATAAAAAGAGAAAAAGATTTTGATGTTGTCAGTTGATGAGTGTTAATGATCTTCTGTATAGTTTGTTTAATAAGTTTAATATTTAATTATCTGTTATTAATGATGTCACTGTAAATATTTGTATTCTTGCTATATGCTTGTTCAACAGCAAGGTTATAGGGATATTGTTTGAATTGTAATTACATCAATAGTAATAAATAATACAAATACTATTTTAACACCAAAAACCAAACTTTTTTCTTGTTTCATCTGAACAACAAACTATGCCTATATTATTATATTAAAGTAAGAAATAATGTTGGCATTATTTCTTACTTTAAAATAATATAATAATATAGAGAGAAAATTTTACAATTTAATTCATTTTATAGTAATAATGAAATTAATAATGCTTATATGTACAGAGTCTAAATGTCCATCTGGAACTACTGATTAAGCTCATATACTTAACACCTTTTAATTTCCAGCAAAATCATTTAATTTTAACTAATATTTTTGGCCTATTTAATGAGCCGTCTTCAGATTACAATTCTAAATTAGAAAAGGATTGTTAAGATATGTTTGAAATTGGAACAAGGATAAAAAATTTTAGATTTAAATAACATCGTATCATTCTATGCATAACGCATCAAAGAAAGAAACAAATTCAAATGTAAATTCCAAACAGAAAACTTGCAGTCAAATTATTTTTTAATAATGCTCTATTCAAATAACAAATCAAAGATGGGATAAATGTAAGTGCATATGAATATACACAAGTAAATAGTAAAAATAATAAAAAAGTAAATAATGATAAATATTACAGGCCAAAGCTCATGTTTTAATGAGATATATCAGGCCAAGGGCTTTATGGAAAGCCATAAAATGTTGCATGCTGATGAGATAGACTCCACCTCTTTATAATAAATGCAATTGCTCTTAGTGGCCAATTTAAAGATTTTAAGTACTGCATTTACTCGCATATAAGACAAGGTTTTTATTCATTTTTCACTGCTTCAAAAATCTAGGTCGTCCTATATGCGCGAGTGAAGGATTCTTTGCTTTTTACAATAATTTTTGTGAACCGTGTATTCGTATTTTTTTACCAGATGCTCTCCCTCTAATGTTTAAAAACAAAAGTATTTTATCTGGGTCGTTTCAATCCTTCTTGTGTATTGTCAAGAGTGAAGATGAATAGTAATAGGAAAAGTGAAGCTTTTGAATTAAATTCCAAATTGAAATTTTAAAATCACACAGAAGCTTGATATAAGTTTTAATCTATTTCCACATGAAAACAGATGATTATTTGGAAATCAGAATTTGGAGAAATTCATAAGTGTAATCAATGGAGAGTAGATTCAACTGTGAATTGGCAAAAAAAGGTTACCGATTGTCCAGCTTTACATGAACAAATTATGTTGTCAATTTTACAAGATTTTTCCTTAAAGTTTAAGATACCAATAATTTTTCTGGGACAATGTGTGCATTTACGTGCATTTGATATTTTATTTGTGATTAAACAAAATAAAATTAGAATTGTATTAACAAATCTGTTTCTTTTTTATTTTGATCTTTAAAGTGACACCTCGTCCTATATGCGAGTAAATACGGAATTTTCAGGCTCCTTATCTATATCCCGATACGAGTGGTATGGATTGGTATCTTCAAGGTTGACCTCCACCCCAGATTATGAGGTGAAAATGGCTAAGGTTGTGACTGGTTTATTATGTTCTGATGCATATGAATATTCATTTAGTTTGGTAGCTAATAAGGTAGTTGTGGTCTCTATGTATTCTAAATCCCATTTGAATCTATCCGCCCTAATGGAGATGAGGTATATTTCCTGTGTGCATGATCTGTTAACTTTGTCCTTATCATTACATAATAGTTCGTGTATGGTGAGATTTCTGCTATAAGCAAATTTGTATTAATCACAAAGAGACAAAGTTTAGGTCATCAATATGGAGCACATTTTATGGCTCCACATAAAGACCACAAGATGACACTCGCCTCTCAAATGTGAGCTTTGGCTAATAACATTTATCCTTATCAGTTTCTGTACATTTATCTTTATTATTTCATTTTTGTCTTGATCATTTACTTGTGCATATTTATATCTATTTATAGATTTATCTCATTTTTGACATGTTTATTTGAATAAAACATTACTTAAAAATAATTTAAACTAAGTTTTCCATTCAGAATTTATATTTGAATTTGTTCATTTCTATGGCATGTTGTACTTAGAATTCATTTAAACCTGAAATTTTTGAATCTTGTTCCATTTTCAAACACATTAACAATCATCTAATTTAGAACCGAAACCTAAAGAAGGCTATTAACTAAGCAAACGAATTAAAATAAAACAGAATGCCAACGTATTATACAACGGAACACAAACTTTAAAAACTCGAACCGACGGAACTCAAAGATCAAACGACATTACGTCGTCAAAATTAGGCGTAAAACAATCGAACAGAGTTTTTCACTCTGCCGGATCGGACGAAAGGGTTCCTAAACACACGTAGTCATCGTCCAGTTCGAGTATTTAATGTTAAGTAAAGCCGAGGTCAATTCCACGCAACAAAGTTCGAATGCAATTACAGACTCAAAGACTTACCGGCCAAAATATTAACTCGTACTTTACCGTACTTCTAACACGCCTTCTCTTATTATAATTATACGTACAAATACTTTTTGCGGGCCGAAACGTTCGACGGTTCGTATTTTCGTACGATCGACGGGTTTTTTACGGGTCGACCGAACACCGTTTAATTAAAACCGCGCGTCTCGGTCGGTTTAAAATCTACATTTCGACACTTTCGCATTCAATTTGCGAAAATCGTCCACTTCCCAGGCTTTCGCCTAATCTCCAGTTGTTATTTCTGTAATAAATCGCGAAATACAAGCCATAATCGTTACTTAAACGTCAAAGGACATCGGGGTAAGAACGACGAGAAGAACATAACGTAAATAAATTTAAAAAGGACGAGTAAACAGGCAAAAGGTTACATTGCATCAATGGTTAAGTTACAGACGGCACCTGTTCGATCTGGACTGAGTATCGGGATCGGGCGAGGGATTGCCAAAAGTTATAAAACACTCGACGGTCTCTCCGGAAAGGAAAACGGCACCGCGAGCCAATCTGGCCCGAACTTCGATCATCTACAACACGTAAAACGTATTACTTCAGCTACAAATATTATCCACACAACCGAAAATTATATTAATGGAGTACGTAAAGAACGACCTCGTTTAACCTCTGGCTCTATAACCTTCCGAACTTGGAAACAGTAGTATATATAAATCGTATTTTCGCCACTCGTCGGACTAAACAAACGATAAAATACGTCTACTGGTTAGTTAAAAAAACAGACAAATCGCCACACGTGTCAACCCCTAAAGCTCTCTGTCAAAATATTTTATTTAACTCGATGGGATATAAATATTATTTTATTTCATCTTGTGATATTTCGATTAAAATTTTACATAATATCGAAAAAATGGTCGATATCGATAGAACGATAACCGTGTTAATTTTTTTAAAGTCTTACGTAAAACTGGCAACACTCTTTCGCTGACGCGTGGTAAGTGGGCGATCCGAATGTGCGTAATGTGGATGTTAACTATATATTTAATGACTTAAGGTGTATTAAAGTTAATATTTATATTTGAAACGTCATTTTACAGTACAGATATTGTCATTTCGCCAAACTGTTTTTACCGATTAGCCTTAACTGGATTTTTAAATTTCAAAATATTTTCTGTTTACTAATTTAGATGCGGTTAGGAATATTCGTAAGTCTCCTGCTCGAGTGGTAGGTGCTTTACAAAGTCAGTTTTAAAATACAAAGCTGCTTCGTTTAACTGTTGTAGTTCTCTATCTTTGACCGTAAGCACCCGTCCCGGTTCTTCGGTTGCTGTACGGTCGGTGTAACCGAGTTGGGGAGAACTTTTACGGCAAATTTCTTCGCCACCTAAAAGGTGTAAACGACATTTTAAAGTAACTAGCCAAACTGGCTTTGAGGTGAAAAATCCTGCCAGGAGTTGCGTAAGTTTCCTGGCAAAAAAGTTAGATTATGTGACGGTGCTTTGCATTATGATATTTTATTTTAAAAACTTTTTATATTATTAATAATAATTATAAGATGGCAAAAATCTTAATTTCGAGGGTGGTGGCCGGTTTTCGAAAATTTAAATGCTAACCGTTGGTGTGATCTTTGTTAAGTCCCGCCCGCCTCCCGTGGACTTTCTTCGTCTTTCCTTCCCTCGACTTTTAACTGCAAAAATTTAATGGCATCGATCTTCTAATATTCAAATCTTTGTGTAAATTTCGGGAATTTTTGGCAAAAGGCGTGGGAGTTACTAATCTTTTGAGTGGGTGAACAAAATTGTTCCCTTCGCGCACGTACGCTCGAGCACACGCCTGTATGTACGGAAAAAAAACCCTAACTTTTTTTCGTTTCTCCACATTTCGAGCTCCTCCGAATTAAAAAAATGCGAAAATCTTGGAATGATCATTTTTTACCCTTGCCGAACTTTTTTCTAGAATTTTCCGAAAACGATGTCGTGCCCAGTAGGGGAGTTTAAGAAATGTGGTGGTCTCCGACGAGGGAGGGGTTTGTGGCGGTGCAACGTCGCTTCTTACTAAATATACAGTTTGGGTTACGGGTGAATATTGTGTAGTAAAATTGCACGTGCATTTCTCTTTTATTCCGTAACTCTTAGTATTGGTAAAATTGACGGATGCGCTCGATGCCAAATTAGTACGATTTAATAAGTGCACGCTCTCTCTTTTGGCACTAATTTAGCTTAATCCGAATGTAAGCCGGTACTTTCGACGTACCAAAATGTTGAAAGTACCTGCATTTGAATTAAATTAACGTCGAGAGACTGTGTGTATTTGTGTATTTATTAATTTTTGGTATTGATATTGCAAAACTACTCTGGAGGCACCTCCACCCACTGGATATTTGTATGGAAATAAGAATGCCAAAACGGTATAACAAAATTTGATTAGTGCAAGTTGTATGAAAAACATCTTATTTGTAACTTTTAGACTCTTACTATTTTTATAGTAAACTACTTGATATTCACACTATAAATAAAACTTAAACTGAATTTTACTTTGATTGTTGTATTTTTTTAAAAAAAAGGAGAGGTGCAATCATGTCACATTATTTTAAAGGGGGGTTTGAAAATGTGACACGTGATAAGGGGAGAGGGAGGGTTAAAATTTACCAAAATTAGCATGACATCATTTATGGATGTCCTCCTATTATATATAACTATCAGAAAAGTAAAAAATTGTTAATGAAATAAAAAAAAAGACACAATATCTTACATTATATTCTATTCTGATGATAAAACAATAAAAAGTATGAAATGCGTTAATTGTTGGCTTCTTGGTGATTAAATAGACGAGTTGCATTCGAACTATAGCGCTCGACGAACCAATGGCTAGGGCAGGGGGAAGTGGCTAAGTCCCTCGGCTTAGTCAACATATATAATAAGTTCTATTGCTTTTTTCATGTAAACTAGGCTACTGTTACTTATTTTTACACTTGAGCTGTAGCTAATAAGTCTAATGTTTGCTGGAAAAAAAAATAAAAAAAATACCAGTCACAATGTTTTCAATTTGTTCTTCTAACTCCCCAGTGAT